AACGGTAGTTCAAAAAAAGACTGGAGAGAAAAAAAAACTGCAGAGAAGAAAGAGGGTATTAGTTAAGGAGAGCCAAAACCTGACTTCTGCACTGTGTCATGTAGCACTCTATGAAGACGAGGAATTGCAGTCTGTCTGTGTGTGTGCGTGTGTGTGTGGATGGGAAGGAGGGGGTGCGGGCCCTTCATCGTTTGTTAAAGTGAGAGGACATTATCGCTTGACCTCCACTTGCCCTCCCTGCGACTGCATATGATCATGAAAGAAAGGCAAAGAGAAACAGAAGGAGAAAGATTGTGCAAAACATCTCCACTGATTACTTCCTGTGACATCATCAAAACACTGAAAAAAACAGACATTTTAGACTATTGAAGACTGAGAGAACGTGTCTAGTTCACCACAGAGGACATTAACAAGGGAAAATGCTTCTTTAGTTGCTAGTGTTTTAGTGTAGGAGCGGAATTCTGTGATCAAGGTCAAATGTTAACTTGCCAAATCTATCTATCTATCTATCTATCTGCGGAGATCACTTATTCCCACACCTTTTGACTTAAGATGTTTGAAAATCATTCAATCAATCAATCAATCAATCAATCAATCAACCAATCAATCAAATTACTGTGATGTATTTACTTTTTTATTATTATTAAAGCCATGTTTTAACTTCACAACAAACACCTTCACAAAGAAGCTAAAGCTTCTCCATCATTGAGGTTTGTTTTTGGTACAGCAACAAACTCCTCCAGATGATTCGCACATGTTTGGAAGACATCAGTTTGTTTCCACCAAAAATAAGCGAACAGACCAGCTGATCTCAACAAGCGTCAACGCTGTCTAAGGAAACAAACAACCTCTCCTTTCAGGCTGCCTATTGACACCATGTTTGTTTTGCTATACCTTCTTGACAACTCAAGCGTGAACGGCAAAAGTTTACGCACAAGCGGCCTTTAACGGCACAAGTTCACGAGTGCATGAGGACAGGCATGACATTTACACTGTGCAATGATCAACTAAACCACAACGTGTCTAGTAGGGGCATTACGTCAATGGGCCCAAATCATGTCAAAATAACATTGTCAACCCAGCTGCACGTCAAAGTAATCCTCCACAGGTGGCAGCTCCCTACCCATCATCATTTGTGGCAACACGCAGTTAAGCACACCTGCTTTCAAAGCATTGCCGCAAATAATCCTCACTCTTTTTTCAATCTTCTTCATTTTTCCCTCATTCCATGGAGAGGTTGGACTATCAAGGAAGGTCCGCAAGTGTTGTTCCTAATTACCTATTTCTCCACTCCTGATCCTGTGGCAGGCATAATTAGTTACCTGGGGCTGCAATCCAATTTGAAGTGATGACAAGAAAGCGATCCATGAAAAAGTAATAAGTTAAATCCAATTTCAGACTGCCTCTAATTAAATGCACATGGAACTAATGACTCAAGCCCTACCATTTCAGTGATAACCGTAATTAGCAAGGAGGGAGTTGCACTCTCTCGATCTTCCTCTCTCTCTCTCTCTCGTTCTCTGCTGTAGGTGTAAAGTGGTAAAGTGGCATGGACTCTTTTAATTACACGTGTCATTTTGTTGGTGATTTATTCGTGTTTTTCTGACCAGCCGAATGTGTTTAGCCTCTACTCCGGTATGTTTATGGTGTTCCATGCTGCGTGTCATATTAATAAAGACCCCCCCGCCCCATTTCGTTTTTTAATAAAAAATCTTCTATTATGACTAATGAAGAAATATCGGACATATTGTCCATTAATTGTCCAGCATCCAATGCGCTACTTACGTTAGAGACGCGCCCATTGATTAGTAAAGGTTCCCATGAATTCACTGGCGTACTTTGTGTTCCCTCCCTATAAGCCCAACAATTAACAATTAGCATGCTACAATTACCTTTCTCTACTGACCAAAATAAATAATGTGCAAAAACTTAAATCTTCAAAGTCTTAGGTGGACAGAGACTGAAATGCTGAATTGGTGATAAAACACAGTCCCAAATTAAATTAAAACGCTCTAGAGTAAGGAAAGCAAATTGACGCTGGCTTTTGGCGCCTCAATACAGCAATAACACCTAATAGAGATCAGCATCTAATGATAGATAGATCACACAAGACAGCAAGAGCTATTGAGAAAGATACATGTTCAGAATTGCATACTACCACACTACTCATCATCTGCGGCATATAGGGTGCACAGTAAGAACATTTTCTATATGCAAGAGATGAGCGACTACATGTGACAAAATGGTCAGTAGCCTATAAAACAAAGCATAATACACTGGGTACTATATCCCACAATGCACTGCGCTCAACTCTGCCGCACCATAAAGAGACATAAAAATGCTAATTTTATGTTATTTTTAATTGCGACAGACCTAGTGGAGAGGTTGTTCCCACCCCAGATTACAAAAAAGAAAAGTAAAATAACAAAATACATTTTTTTTAAACTGATTCATAACAAAGCATACTGTAGGCTATATGTTTGAAATGTTTGTTCCTGCATACCTATTCACATTTTTTAAAAACAAACAGTAGGCAGTATACAGTACAAAGTAGTATGCAGTATGCTAGGATTCCATTTTGAACTCAGTCATAGAAAGATAGAAGAGAGCATGAGGGTGAAAGACAAAAACACACATGCTTTCTTTTCACTGGTGTGAGTGACAGGTTGGCTATGCTCTCTGTATACATTAATAAATTTGAATTTGAATTCCATCTTTGTGTGCTGAGGCTGGTCTGCTCCTCCTCTACGTACTAACAGTCTGGATAGTGGAATCTGTTGGCCACTGACCCCTCAGCCTGATGAGTGAAGCTGTTTAGTTTGATCCTTTTGGCTTTATCTCAATGACAACAAATTCACACAGAATCTAAAGGTCACAAGCATTTATTCCCTTGTGGCTTATTTCCAGTGATATCTACACAACCCAAGTTCTTTTACACTACATGACACGATACTGATATGCCACAACGTATGGCTGTATGATATGGGGGAAAAAAAAAATCTAATTGCACTTTTTCTGATAAAAATTGTGATTGCATTTTAAAATGCAATTTTTTTTAAAGCTCCATGTTCGCTGTTCTTGTTCGTAGGGTTGAACAATTTGGTCAAGTTGTTGCAATTATATATCAATATGACTATAACATAATAATAATAATAATGTTTTAATTGTATTAATAAATGTATTGTTTATTATTATTACTAAATAAAAATAAACTACACAAATACAATTTCTAAATAATTATTTGACTGTAAAAAATTGAGTATTTAATAAAAATGTTAATAACAACAAGAACAACAACTATAATAATAATAAAAAAAATTAAAAAAAAACACAACACCTAAAAAAAATAAAAAAACTTGTGTCATGTTACTATGTGGTTGCTAGGGTGTTTTAGTTTAGCTATGTGGTGTTCTTTGTGAAACGAGCTAACCTCCAAGTCCCTATGATATTCAGGTCCCTCCTTCAATGCATGTATGTTTTTCCCACATTTTATCATCTGCCAGGATGAACATCGCAAATCCAAATGCTTCGAAAACTAACTCACATGCCATACAATTTGAGGTACCACTTATGTCCATTCATTAGCAAGCACCACTAAAAATTCAGTCATTACACACACAAACAGGCTCGCTCAAAGCAGGGATGTGCGTTAATTAACAAACATGCCCCTAGGTCTCCTGTGATTCCGCCAAGAAACAAACAGCATCCACCTTGCTCAAACAGAGATAAGGATCTGAGCGAGAATGATCTCAAATAAACGTAAATATTGCATCAGACACGGCTAGCTGCTCTCTTTTAAAGGGCGCGGATGGGGAAATGAAAAGGGCCGGATTTGCTCTGCATCACAAAGGGCAGGCAAATAGAAAGCCTGGAGGCTGAGACAGGAGCCAGGGCTGCTCCCGGGCGCCCCCTTTAACTGCTGCTGACAGAATTAAGTGTGAAATCAGACAGAAAGAGAAAGAGAGGGAGAGAGAGAGAGGTCGTCATACTGTACTTCTATTCGATAAGCTAATGTTGTTTGCTCTTCACACTTGCACACACATTAGATATCCTTGTGCTCATGATGTGCTAAAACTGACAGGATTTCATTGAGCGTGATTTGTTAGATTATTGTGAGTGATGAAAGAACACTACACTAATGTGCTGCCAAATCTTCAGCCCTGCCTGCCTTAATTTCCTGTTTGTCAAGCTTTGACAGGTACATGTTGTACCACCAACCGTCCGTATAAATGTAAACAAATAATGTCTGATCACCCATATAAACACACACTCATATACACACAAATATATTTATGTCAGCACCAGTACTGTTCTACAGGGAAAGAAGGAAAAAATAGATCTCTTTACTACAGTATCTCAGTTGTTTCTCATAGATTAAGTGAGAAGCAAATGGAGATATTTGCTTGTTTAGCGATCTTAAAGTTGGTATGAAATGAAAATTAACCCTATTTTCTAAATGCATCTAATTGTGAACAATTTATCCATGCATGTGTTTTATTTTTCAATTTTTGACCTTTAATTTTGTTTAATCAAAGACCTCCTCTTCCTCCACTTTTGATCTACATCTCAAAATCCAGTCAACAATTGATGCATAGAACCAAGTCCCCACCCATCATTTTTTTTCTTTTCCAATAATCTGTCACACTCGGATGTCACAATATGGAAGAAAAGATCAGTCACTACTTCCATTTCATTGCAACTTTAATGTCTCAAACAGTGCTCAGATTATCCAAGACACCAATAATCTCAATATGAACTCCAACATTTCTCCCAAAATCAAATCACCTGAGCATTACGCCATTATGTTAATTTTACAGGTCAATATTGTGTGTCAACAGTTTTCTCATTTGCTGCTGTTGTATTTCTCATTAGGAATTTGAGAAGAAACATCTGAGACAGTTGAGATTTCTACTAAAACATTCTGCAAACTCCATTTAGTCTCCTGAGCTATCTAAGAGCAACATTTGAAGAACATTTGAGCTTGACATGCGCACACATACCTGTGGTGCAGGTTGCTTGTCATTGTTTTTTGGGGACTTGTGGGCTCTGCTTTGCTGTTGCTGTTGGAGAAGGATCTGTCGTGCAACTTGTAAGGCCTACGTGAGAAAAAAGACAGAAAAAAAACAATGTGAGAAAATAAAAGTTCACGAACAACAGTTCCAGTAGTGCATTGTTTTTGTGCTGGGGAATGACACTCCCTTGAGAACGGCCCTACTGCTTTTTGGCATCAAAGATGTGTTCCAAATTATGCCATGTTCTTACAGCTGGGCAAGATACTGTTTTTCCCTCCCTGCTTATTTTAAACAAATGTACAGCTTAATTTGGTCACATGCAATGATTATTTGCCCAAAACAAACAAGTATGTGAAAATAAGCTGAAGCGGTTATGAAAAACAGTTACCACAAACAGTTAACAAAATGTTTTTGTTGAATAGCTTACAGTTACAAGGAACAGGGAGGACACACAAGCTGTTGTTTAATCTTTCTGAATATGTTCAGAATAGAATAATAGCATACTGCATATTACTGTATATACTGTATACTACTTTCATTTGAAGAAAATTAACAGTTCACATTATGCATTAAACATCTGCTCCTGTGCATGTTTAATTTAGCAAATGGGGTTTAATTATCAGCTCAGAAAAAAAAATATATAACATTTTTTATTTTGTTTTGTTACATAAGCTGAATGTGCAAATATCAGTTGCCAAAGCAAACCAATTTAAAAGAAAGATTTAACAAAAATGTTCTCAGTAAACAATGCACCTGCTAAGGCAAAAATCAACTATCTGCTAATAAATGTTTTATTTATAAATAATAAATTATATCTAAATGCATTAGTAATATACAGTATCATGTTATATAATAATTGAATATCATTTAAAATGTAGTAATATAATAAAAACATTTTAATCCAAATTAAATTTTACTAATTTAATAAGTAAAAAAAAAAAGAAACAAAAAAAAGACATCTTAAAGTGTCGCTGATATTGCTTCTGGTTCATTTATCACATTGGAAACAAAAGATCATGAAAAGTGCATTGCATTGTGGGATACAGTACCCAGCACAGTATACTCTGTTGCATACTGTATGTTTTGACAGCTGTATTAGATGATCTGGCTATACTATCCATACCAAATATTTTCATAATACAGTGCATTTTCATACTTCACAGAAAGAGTAGTATGGTAGTGTGGTATGCGGAAAGCAACCTGTCTCTTTCTTGCTACGTTTATCTGTTTGTCTCTCTCGCCCTCCCTCCCCCGTTCATAAAGCAAATAAAAAGTTTATTAGTCTTCAAAATATCTGTCAAAGGACACGGCCCTCTGAGTGGAAAACAAAATACAGTGCAGTAACATGTTTACTGGCTGGACTACTCCCTTCCCCCCCACCATAAATAATCAGACATGCCATCCAGAGCAAACAAAAGCAACAGCGGTGCTGGAAAAAAAAAAACAGAATAAAGTTCTCCAGTCGAGCAAAAAAAGGCACCAATACCAAGAAAAGCAAGCAGCGTGTTCCCATAGAACAGCAGGGGCAGACTCACACCTACACCAGAGAACCATCTGAGTAAATAACCCGCTTCATTCTTTCCACGCTCATCACACCAAAAACTCCCACAATTCAACAAACAGTCGCAGGAACATCTAAAACCCTTGGGCTTCTCAGTGAGTGGAGTTCAGACTCTATTATGTGATATTAGTGACTTTTTATTAGCAACCTGATGCTATAAAGCGTTCGAGAAAGTGTGCAAAACACGTGGGTTTGCACTGAATGTGATGAATTTTAGGACGGTTTTTTGTGATGAATAGGACGGCCTGTATTAGAGAGTAAAGGGTTACTGTCTGGTCCTGCTCTCCAAGAGCTCAATAAAGAAGCTGTGGAGATGAGAACTGAAGCGCTGAGCTACACAAGCCAGCTGTTTGTGTGTGTGTGACCTTCTCATGCACTGAAGTTGTAGGATGACATCATGAGGCAGGAATATAATAACAGGCTACAGAGGCACCACTTCAGTGCCGTCTGACACTGACTGTCATCATTATGGTATGGACAAACACAAATTACACCACAAGTATCTGAAGATCCGGTAACGCTTTACAATAAGTTTACATTTGTTAACATTAGTTAACTACATTAGTTAACATGAACTAATGATGAAAAAATATTCTACGGCTTTTATTAATCTTAGATAATATATTTATTTCAGCATTTACTCATACTAATGCTAATATGAAGTAACAATAAACAGTTGTATTTTTTTATTAACTAACATTAAGAAAGAATAATAAATACTGTAGCAAATGTTTTGATAATTGTTCATGGTAACTAATTGGACCTTATAGTAAAGTTTTACTGAAGATCCTTAAATCAGATAAATTTCACTGATGAAACAGTGAATAGTGAACAATGAATACTGTGAAATATTATGGCATTTTCAGAGAATATAACTTTTAATTTTTTGTACACCACTGGTGGTAACACTTTAGTTTAGGGACCAATTCTCATTATTAACTATCAAAAATTAAGTTTTGATATATTTATGGTAGGAAATTTACAAAATATCTTCATGGAACATGATATTTACTTAATATCCTAATGATTTTTGGCATAAAAGAAAAATCTATAATTTTGACCCATACAATGTATTTTTGGCTATTGCTACAAATATACCCCAGCGACTTAAGACTGGTTTTGTGGTCCAGGGTCACATTTGCATGCATATTACTAACATATTGGCTGTTTATCAGTACTTATAAAGCACATCTTAATGTCATATTCTGCATGACCATATTTTAAATCCCTTAATTCTACCCCATACCTAAACTTAACAACTACATTACTAACTATACAGGTGCATCTCAATAAATTAGAATGTCGTGGAAAAGTTCATTTATTTCAGTAATTCAACTCAAATTGTGAAACTCATGAAGCACCTGTAGGCAGCAAATTATGAATTTATTAAGGAAATTTTTTTTTGTCAAAAGTTAGTTAATAGTGGCAACTGGTCCCCAAACTAGTGTGACCCCAATGGCAAATAGCTTTTTTTCTTGTTTTAAACAAATTTATAGAATTTATGCTCAAAACAATAAAAATGGCTATATAGAGGTAAGACAAGTAATTACTTATTTTAAGGATTTTAAGATTGTATAGACGCTATTATTCCTGAACATCAGAATATCTAATGAGAATATACAGGAAGTTTCATCAAACCTTCTGTTCCTAATTGTGTAATGTCGGCTGCTCTGAATATCCCTGTACAGGATCCCAACATCAGGAAAGAGCTGCTGAAGCTGTAAATAAGGTCTCTGATCATTTCAGTCTGAACAGTTTGTTCAACACATATCAAAAAGGATTATTTTTGTTTTCCTGTCACAATGAATGCAGGCTTTGCAAAGATGCTGCTATTGAAGGATGTGGCTGGTTAAACCTATGTGACACATCAAGCACAGAATTCGGCACCGTTACTCATTTCTCATGCAAAGGGGGGCGTTTCATAAAGAATGCAGAAGCAAAAAAAAAAAAAAAAACAGACTGTATAATTGTAGATTAATTGTAGTAACAGAGAAAGAGTAAAAATTAAAATATGATTTTTACAAGTGAATCTCAGATAAAAAAAACACACGCAAACAATGGATAACATACCAGCGGCTCCTCTGCCCGTGATTTAAATTCCAGTAATATCACAGGGGGAAAAAACACTTCACTACCTATCAAAATTCTTCATCAGATAAATAACTGAGTGATATTTCCATGCTGACCCGAAGCCCGCCAAATATGACGGAGGCTTATTTGAAAGGGACAGTCCCTAAGTCTCTCTCACCCAAAACAACCATTGCCACGCTCTCCCCCACCCACACAGACCGGCCAGGCGCCCTCACGCAGCTGAAAAATAAATACCCTATTTATAGAAGCATAATTACATATGCATGAGAATATGACACTAAAGTCTTCCAGTGCCATGAATGGACCGAAACTCTTCATTTTGTGTGACTGGCAGAAATGTGAGAAAACCCATTCAGTGCATAAACTTAAAAAACAGGGTCAGGTGGATATATCAAGTGAAATTTTGCGTTCATGTAGTTTTTTTTTTTAGCAAAAATAAATATTTTTATATAATTATGTAAAATAAATTCATTGTGATTTATATGAATGCATTTCACATATAAAGTGTCTATAAAACACTTAAATGTTTATATTAGTAAATGTTTTCAAGCCATAAAGCAAACCAGTGGAAACAAGTTTTCAATCTTAGGTGTGTCTCTATGTTTTATCTCTTTTAATCAATTCTTAAAGAAAAAAAAAATCTCATGCCAAGAAACCATGTGTATATTTTACTAATTTATGCGTTTCCTTTCAGGTGCTCTTTCTCAGCATTTTGCAGATTCCCATGTGACCAAAGATAAAAAGTGTTGAAATGAGTCAAACTTCTTTTAGAACCTGTAATACTTTGCTACGACTCACCCTCTCACTTTCAGGTCTGGTGGTTATGCCAGACAGAACGTCAAACACGCTCCAACAACCATACGATAAAGATTACTGTATGAGCACATTGACGCTGCACGCGCTGTTTACACAGAAACTTTTACGACACAAAAATACTTGGTGTGCTCTGAGCCAGTGCTGGTACAAGGATATTTGAGTCAACAGGATGTGATATTGAGACATTTCAAGATGAGGACATGAAGTACAAAGAGCTGTTTTCAGTTGTTAATTGCATCAGAAAGGCTGTCAACAAACAAACCAGATGATCAATCAGGAGATACGCAGGTCTAAAAAAAACAACATTAGGCTACGCTAACCGCAAGACGGCTTCCTGTCGAGCACGCTTTCAGGTGAACACCTTCTATATCAAATAAGACTTCACAAGCGTGGCTTAATAATAACAAATTTCTTGTTGTTAATGCAGCTAGCTAAAAGATACGTCTTCATCAAATATGTCGGAAAAAAGGCAATTAAGACAAAAGTGCAATGCAGGGATGATTCAAAGACTTTGTCAGGATCAAAACTAATGAGAAGAGAGAGGATGCACTTGGCACCGTTTCCGAGGTGAGCACGGGCCCCGGGCGAAGGAATTATTTGTTGTTTAACAAGCTAG